TGGGTTATAATTTTGGGTGAATATTAATTCGGCATTGCCGTTTTTCACGACAAGGTGTTTTGAAAATAATATAAGTACAGACTCTTTTTGAAGTCAGTGTTTATAATATAAAACCCTTCGAATAATTGACTTTTATATGGAATTTATGTACGTTTTGTGACAGACCGTACGGAATGTACATCGGTCTTTATTGTTGTCACGGTTGAGTTTTTTCCCGTCATTGTATCGACCGAAACGTCTGTCATAAACGTATAAATAAAAACAATGAACTATTCGCAACGTTTTTGTGTTGSCTGAGACTTTAATTACATGAGGTGTGGGTTCTTATCTAGAGTTTGACGCAASTGACGGGTGGCGAACATGTGGCGCTGTGACGTTACAAACATTGAACTTGTGAATGCAGTCATGTCTTGATTYTCCTCTTACTGTAATGTATAGTGAGAGAAAATAACAAAATGGACTTAAATTTACAACTCTACGGCTTGGTTTAGCTTTCCCGTATATCAAAAAAACCTTCAGGGTTGACAGTGCCAACCAAAATCGCCCCAACATAAGGTACAATCTTACTTTATTTAACGTTAGCTAAAAGATGTGAAATCAACCTTGTAAACATTTCTCTATTTATGGTGCAGGACGTATATTGATACAAAAAAATGTACAATTTATTTTATTCTATAAGTTATATATTCAATGCAGTGAGATGATAATTTTGGACTTTGTTTGAAAATGAACATCGAGCAAAATGATGAAGTAACTGGTCTTGTTTTCAGGCATGCGCAGTAAGCTCTTAAGGTTTTTTATGTATTTCTGTGCTTGAATAAGCTAGGCCGCGAGAAACGTACTGTGTACAAAAATAAGTGCAATAAAGGTGGATAGTGCAAATTAATTGGAGAGGATATATGAGTACAAACACTGTATTTCGTGGAAAAAGACTTATCTGAAATTTCAAAGTGTAAATAGACTGAAAACAAAGGAACAGCGCTGATTGATTGATGATTGAAAGACTCAACATCGATCGACAATCATCGATCTATCACTGATTTGTGCGTGTTCCTTTGTTTTCATCGATCAATCATCGATCAATCGTTTAGTCTGTCGGTTGGTTGGTTGGTGAGCGGTAGAGAATGGATGTAACTGGGCGGTAGAGAATGTATGTAACTGGTCGGTAGAGAATGTGTATGACTGGGCGGTAGAGAATGTATGTAACTGGTCGGTAGAGAATGT